ATGTACTATTTTTCGGCCATGTCGGCCATCTTGGTTCGCGGGCGGGGTCATCGGACACATTTTTTACACTAGATACCCTAATGATGATTGTGGACAAGTTTGGTTAAATTTGTCTTAGTAGTTTCAGGAGAAGATTTTTGTAAAAAATTACAAAAATTTACGAAAAATGGTTAAAAATTGACTATAAAGGGCAATAACTCCTTAAGGGGTCAACTGACCATTTTGGTAAAGTTGACTTTTTTGTAGATCTTACTTTGCTGAACATTATTGCTGTTTACAGTTTATCTCTATCTATAATAATATTCAAGATAATAACCAAAAACGGCAAAATTTCCTTAAAATTACCAATTCAGGGGCAGCAACCCAACAACGGGTTGTCCGATTCATCTGAAAATTTCAGGGCAGATAGATCTTGACCTGATAAACAATTTTACCCCACGTCAGATTTGCTCTAAATGCTTTGGTTTCAGAGATATAAGCCAAAATCTACATTTTACCCCTATGTTCTATTTTTAGCAATGGCGACCATCTTGGTAGGTTGGCGGGGTCATCGGACACATTTTTTAAACTAGATACTTGAATGATGATTGTGTTTAAGTTTAGGTGCATTTGGTCCAGTAGTTTCAGAGGAGAAGATTTTTGTAAAAGTTTACGGACGACGGACGCAAAGTGATGAGAAAAGCTCACTTGACCTTTCAGGTCAGGTGAGCTAAAAAGGTAATGCAGAAAAAATGTTTGTTTTGTGGGGAAAGATATAGATAATAAACCATGTGAGAAAATGTTGTTGAAAATAGAAGCATACAGTTTTTACATCATGAAATAAAAACAGAGCAGTGCTTTTAGTAAATTTAATTTTAAAAGTCAGAAAGGCCATGTGAGTTTTGTCCCTTACATAATGATGAGGTATATAAATGAATGACCATTTGTACTTGGGACGCTTTAGTAGGCAGTACAGATGGTTAAAAATGTTTGTCAAAAACACTTGGCATCATACATATATTGCAATAAGCATTTTTTTGTGTATTTAATCATGTTTTTATTTATTTGACTGTCTGGCAGACCTAAAATGTTAGTTTCTAATGCAAATACTAAATATGATTCCCCTCAACTAAATTAGTTAATGTTATGCTTCAATAGTACCATGTGCTGTCGACAGTTGTTAAAGAGTTCTGATAGATTATACAAATGTTTCAACCGTCTTACCTTGCAGTTCACATGCACTTTTATATATGGGTTGTCTGTTTTCAAATCTGAATTCCATACATATATATATATATATATATACATGTAATGTATATGCATAGCAATAAACTGAGCTTAATGCAAAGGACTTTAAAACTACACTTAGACAGAAAACTCAATTCAGTGATATACTTTGTAATACTGGATATAGTCATGATAACTTGAATAATTCACAACTGATTGTTACCAAACTCCATGGCAATCCTGAAAAAAATATAAAAAAATGTTTCTACTAGAATACAAAGTAAGCTATCACAAATATTCAGTGCTAATCTAGTTGTAGTTACTACTTGCACAATATAAATGCCAAGAGCTGACCGTGCCTCTCATTTTGACACATAAAATGACTCCAACCTTAATAATATTGTGACCAAGCAGAAGGGAAAAAAATAATTGTCTGATCAGGACATTTTGCCATTAAACTCAATGTTAAGTTTGGACTTATTGTGCATCTTGAAATTGATGAAAACAAATTAAATTGGATATCTAAACATTGCTAGAAGGAATTTAATCAGAAGCAAAATAAATGATTCTGTAGAAACAAATGCATGAAGATACCATTCTAGACAATTATGGTTGTTAATAAGTCCATAACTCTAGAAGGTGGAAGACCTGGATGCTTCATACTTTGTATATAGATGCCTTATGTTATGAAGTTTCTGTCTGTCATATGACCATTGTCCTTGATTTTCATGGTTCAGTGAATACTTGAAAAAAAAGTTTAATTTTTTTATAATGTTAATTTCTCTTATTATGAGTAATAGGATAATTATATTTAGTATGTGCGTACCTTGCAAGGTCCTCATGCCTGTCAGACAGTTCATCTGAACTCGACCTCATTTCATGAATCAGTAAACAAGGTTAAGTTTACAGGTCAAGTTCACATCTCAGATACTATAAGCAATAGGTCTACTATATTTAGTGTATGGAATGATTGTAAGGTGTGCATGTCCAATTGACAGGTGTCATCTGACCTTGACCTCATTTTCATGGTTCAGTGGTTAAAATTAAGTTTTTGTGTTTTTATATATGCAATAGGACAACTTTATTTGGTGTATGGAAATATTTTACCATGTACATGTCAGTCTGGTAGGTTTAATTTGATCTTGACTTCATTTTCATGGTTCATTGCTCAGTGTTCAGTTTTATGTTTTTGGTCTGTTTTTCTTAAAATAAAAGCAATAAGTCAAATATATTTGGTGTATGAAATGATTGTTAGGTGTATATGTCTGTCTGGCAGGTATCATCTGACCTTGACCTCATTTTTATGGTTCATTGGTCAATGTTAAGTTTTTATGTTTTGGTCTGGTATTCAATTACCATAAACAAATAAGGTCAACTACATTTGGTGTATGGAATAATTGTAAGGTGTACATGTCTGTCTTGCAGGTATCATATGACCTTGACCTCAATTTTATGGTTCATTGGTCAATGTTAAGTTTTTGTGTTTTGGTCTGGTATTCATGGATCTTTAAAAATGTGAAGTTTATGTGATACTTGTAGTAAAACCGTTATCTTTAAGATTTTCAACATAAAATCAATTGTCAGTAAAGCAGGGGAGACATTTCAGCGTGTGCACTCTTGTATAATTTTATTGGGGTGTAAAAGCGTTGATGGAAGCACATTTTGTCAGCACTTCAGATTAAAAATGTGTGCAAGATCAACCCTTTTACAACCCTAGTTATATAGCTGAGAGGGTGAGAGAGATTGTCACCTCTAAAAAAAAAAAACAATGTCAACCTTAGTGTCACATAATTATAATGACTTTTTATGAAATTAAGGTTTATATAGGGTTTTTTTAATGCATTATTTTAACAATGTCATGGATAGCCTGTGGAGTCATAGCTGTTGTATTTCATACAGAGTTTGGGTGCCTCATGATTACTGTCAGTAATCAAAATTACAGATTTTAGTGTCAGAAACATTCATGTTATGTTATTATTTTCAGGTAAAAGTTTTTTTTCTTTTCTCTTTGATTTCTCTTTTAAAGTAAATAAGAGATAATTTAATTCTAAATTTGTAACAAAAGAGGCTCAAACAGCTGGCTGTTTATAGTGAAATGGAGATCATAATTACAATAAGTCATGGATAACTTTCAACATAATAGCTATTATGCACCATACTGTTTACTTTTCTTTCACAATATTAACAGATTCTATGTCATATATTAAGGAATTGTTGAACTAACACAATCCTTTACCAGTGCACCACAGGATAAAACTCTTATTCTAAAACCAATATAAAAATAACACAGAGCTGAGGGGGGGGGGGGGGGGATAGAAAAGATTGTTACCGTGAGAAAAAACAAAAATATTGTCACACTTAGGTTGACAATTTTTTTTAGAGGTAACAATCTTCTCTATCACCCTCTCAGCTATATATAAATTATTTAAGTTATTATACTAAATGTTCTGTTATTGCGATGCATAGTCTTTTAAATTTTAAATTGAAAGAAATAAACTATGGTGTCATGTACATGAAAACCATCCATTTGAAAAAAATACACAAATGATCAAGCATCTCCTTGATGGGCATTAGACTTTATATAAGCCATGGGATAGAGTAGAATGTCTCCCTCATATTAAAACAATCACAATCTGTCACTTTCAATCTAACCTTGACCTCAGGTGTATCTTTTTAACTCTGGATAAAGGATCTACAAGTGACTCCTGGTCTATAATTTCATAAAATTATTACCAAAATCTTCCACTATCTTCATAATTTTGTCATAGAAATTAGGACTCTGTATTTGAATTTACTAAATGTCTCATAAATATTAAAATAATTTGAATATATATTACAGATAGATGGAAGCCCAGAGAAGAGAGTACAGTTCTAGACCTGGAGACGATTAAATTGAAGATGCCTAGATGCCCAGATGATGATGTAGGTATTTTGTCATTACAATTGTACTTAAACTGTTAATAAGTTGTAAGGTAATAAAATCAGTTTTCCCTGGAGAAACAGCTTGAAAATTTATTACAAATTAGTCCAAAATTTCTTTTTCAAATTTATACTCTAATGAAATATATTTTAATAAAAAAGTATACTTGTATTCCAATTTAGGATTTGAATTAAAACATGCATCACATTAATTTCTGAATTAGTTATAACAGCAAATAGTCTCTTAACATTGACAATTTGGAAACCCTTTCTCTAATAGTCTCACCTGAACGAAAGTAAAGTTTCTGATTGTCAATTTGGATATCTACATATTTAGTCGATTTTTTTAAAGTAATTTGGAAAATATGACTCGTTTTAGATTGTTTGAAATTCAGTTGAATTTTAATCATTTCTGTTCAAAATGTATACATCAGATTGTTTTGGTTAGCCACCAACTTCTGATAATTTGACAGGAACATTAATTTCGGAAATAATGATTATATCATTAAACCGTCTTCATTATTGATTGAAATATAGATTTAAAATGAAAATAAGTGAATGATATATAGTCAAAAAGAGCAATTGAGCAATGATGATGGCTGCCATTAATGCCAGTTTTTCTTTATAGATATTTTGAAAGAAAAAAAAATATAGTAGCAAATTTTTTAAGTTTTATATTTGGTTCAATATTTTTGAACTTATTTTGTTTTTGTTTCAGATACCAGCCCCAGGATATTTACGTGGGAACAGGTAAAGTATGAATCGGAAAGTAAGTATATTTTTTTTTTATTTATTAATAGTTGTCCTATAGATATTAAAATAATTTGAATATGTATTACAGATAGACGGCAGCCCAGAGAGAAGAAGAGAGTACAGTTCTAGACCTGGAGACGATTAAATTGAAGATGCCTAGATGATGATGTAGGTATTTTGTCATTACAATTGTACTTAAACTGTTAATAAGTTGTAAGGTAATAAAATCAGTTTTCCCTGGAGAAACAGCTTGAAAATTTATTACAAATTAGTCCAAAATTTCTTTTTCAAATTTATACTCCAATGAAATATATTTTAATAAAAAAGTATACTTGTATTCCAATTTAGGATTTGAATTAAAACATGCATCACATTAATTTCTGAATTAAATATAACAGCAAATAGTCTCTTAACATTGACAATTTGGAAACCCTTTCTCTAATAGTCTCACCTGAACGAAAGTAAAGTTTCCGATTGTCAATTTGGATATCTACATATTTAGTCGATTTTTTAAAAGTTATTTGGAAAATATGACTCGATTTAGATTGTTTGAAATTCAGTTGAATTTTAATCATTTCTGTTCAAAATGTATACATCAGATTGTTTTGGGTAGCCACCAACTTCTGATAATTTGACAGGAACATTAATTTCGGAAATAATGATTATATCATTAAACCGTCTTCATTATTGATTGAAATATAGATTTAAAATGAAAATAAGTGAATGATATATAGACAAAAAGAGCAATTGACCAATGATGGTGGCTGCCATTAATGCCAGTTTTTCTTTATAGATATTTTGAAAGAAAAAAAAATTAAAGTAGCAAATTTTTTAAGTTTTATATTTGGTTCAATATTTTTGATCTTATTTTGTTTTTCTTTTAGATACCAGCCCCAGGATATTTACGTCAGGACAGGTAACATATGCATCGGAAAGTAAGTATATTTTTTTTTTATTTATTAATAGTTGTCTGATAGATATTAAAATAATTTGAATGTGTATTACAGATAGACGGGAGCCCCGAGAGAAGAAGACGAAATTACAGTCCTAGACATGGCAATGATTTAGTTGTAGATGCCCAGATGATGATGTAGGTATTTTGTCATTACAATTGTACTTAGACTGTTAATAGTTGTAAGGTAATAAAATCAGTTTTCCCTGGAGAAACAGCTTGAAAATTTATTACAAATTAGTCCAAAATTTCTTTTTCAAATTTATACTCTAATGAAATATATTTTAATAAGAAAGTATACTTAGTATTCATGTTTGAATTGTTTTTACATTGTCATTTCTGGGCCTTTTATAGCTGACTGTGCAGTATGGGCTTTGCTCATTGTTGAAGGCCGTACGGTGACCTATTGTTGTTAATTTCTGTGTCATTTGGTCTCTTGTGGAGAGTTGTCTCATTGGCAATCATACCACATCTTCTTTTTTATTTGTACTCCAATGTAGGATTTGAATTAAAACATGCATCACATTAATTTCTGAATTAATTATAACAGCAAATATTCTCTTAATATTGACAATTTGGAAACCCTTTCTCTAATAGTCTCACCTGAACGAAAGTAAAGTATCCGATTGTCAATTTAGATATCTACATATTAAGTCGATTTTTTAAAAGTAATTTGGAAAATATGACTTGATTTAGATTGTTTGAAATTCAGTTGAATTTTAATCATTTCTGTTCAAAATGTATACATCAAATTGTTTTGGTTAGCCACCAACTTTCTGATAATTTGACACGCACATTAATTTCGGAAATAATGATTATATCATTAAACCGTCTTCATTACTGATTGAAATATAGATTTAAAATGAAAATAAGTTAATGATATATAGTCAAAAAGAGCAATTGAGCAATGATGCTGGCTGCCATTAATGCCAGTTTTTCTTTATAGATATTTTGAATGAAAAAAAAATTAAAGTAGCAAATTTTTTAAGTTTTATATTTGGTTCAATATTTTTGAACTTATTTTGTTTTTGTTTCAGATACCAGCCCCAGGATATTTACGTCAGGACAGGTAACATATGCATCGGAAAGTAAGTATATTTTTTTTTTATTTATTAATAGTTGTCTGATAGATATTAAAATAATTTGAATGTGTATTACAGATAGACGGGAGCCCCGAGAGAAGAAGACGAAATTACAGTCCTAGACATGGCGAAGATTTAGTTGTAGATGCCCAGATGATGATGTAGGTATTTTGTCATTACAATTGTACTTAAACTGTTAATAGTTGTAAGGTAAAATCAGTTTTCCCTGGAGAAACAGCTTGAAAATTTATTACAAATTAGTCCAAAATTTCTTTTTCAAATTTATACTCTAATGAAATATATTTTAATAAGAAAGTATACTTAGTATTCATGTTTGAATTGTTTTTACATGGTCATTTCTGGGCCTTTTATAGCTGACTGTGCAGTATGGGCTTTGCTCATTGTTGAAGGCCGTACGGTGACCTATTGTTGTTAATTTCTGTGTCATTTGGTCTCTTGTGGAGAGTTGTCTCATTGGCAATCATACCACATCTTCTTTTTTATTTGTACTCCAATGTAGGATTTGAATTAAAACATGCATCACATTAATTTCTGAATTAATTATAACAGCAAATATTCTCTTAATATTGACAATTTGGAAACCCTTTCTCTAATAGTCTCACCTGAACGAAAGTAAAGTATCCGATTGTCAATTTAGATATCTACATATTAAGTCACTTTTTTAAAAGTAATTTGGAAAATATGACTTGATTTAGATTGTTTGAAATTCAGTTGAATTTTAATCATTTCTGTTCAAAATGTATACATCAAATTGTTTTGGTTAGCCACCAACTTCTGATAATTTGACACGCACATTAATTTCGGAAATAATGATTATATCATTAAACCGTCTTCATTACTGATTGAAATATAGATTTAAAATGAAAATAAGTTAATGATATATAGTCAAAAAGAGCAATTGAGCAATGATGATGGCTGCCATTAATGCCAGTTTTTCTTTATAGATATTTTGAATGAAAAAAAAATTAAAGTAGCAAATTTTTTAAGTTTTATATTTGGTTCAATATTTTTGAACTTATTTTGTTTTTGTTTCAGATACCAGCCCCAGGATATTTACGTCAGGACAGGTAACATATGCATCGGAAAGTAAGTATATTTTTTTTTTATTTATTAATAGTTGTCTGATAGATATTAAAATAATTTGAATGTGTATTACAGATAGACGGGAGCCCCGAGAGAAGAAGACGAAATTACAGACCTAGACATGGCGATGATTTAGTTGTAGATGCCCAGATGATGATGTAGGTATTTTGTCATTACAATTGTACTTAGACTGTTAATAGTTGTAAGGTAATAAAATCAGTTTTCCCTGGAGAAACAGCTTGAAAATTTATTACAAATTAGTCCAAAATTTCTTTTTCAAATTTATACTCTAATGAAATATATTTTAATAAGAAAGTGTACTTAGTATTCATGTTTGAATTGTTTTTACATTGTCATTTCTGGGCCTTTTATAGCTGACTGTGCAGTATGGGCTTTGCTCATTGTTGAAGGCCGTACAGTGACCTATTGTTGTTAATTTCTGTGTCATTTGGTCTCTTGTGGAGAGTTGTCTCATTGGCAATCATACCACATCTTCTTTTTTATTTGTACTCCAATGTAGGATTTGAATTAAAACATGCATCACATTAATTTCTGAATTAATTATAACAGCAAATATTCTCTTAACATTGACAATTTGGAAACCCTTTCTCTAATAGTCTCACCTGAACGAAAGTAAAGTTTCCGATTGTCAATTTAGATATCTACATATTTGGTCGATTTTTTTAAAGTAATTTGGAAAATATGACTCGATTTAAATTGTTTGAAATTCAGTTGAATTTTAATCATTTCTGTTCAAAATGTATACATCAGATTGTTTTGGTTAGCCACCAACTTCTGATAATTTGACACGCACATTAATTTCGGAAATAACGATTATATCATTAAACCGTATTCATTACTGATTGAAATATAGATTTAAAATGAAAATAAGTTAATGATATATAGTCAAAAAGAGCAATTGAGCAATGATGATGGCTGCCATTAATGCCAGTTTTTCTTTATAGATATTTTGAATGAAAAAAAAATTAAAGTAGCAAATTTTTTAAGTTTTATATTTGGTTCAATATTTTTGAACTTATTTTGTTTTTGTTTCAGATACCAGCCCCAGGATATTTACGTCAGGACAGGTAACATATGCATCGGAAAGTAAGTATATTTTTTTTTTATTTATTAATAGTTGTCTGATAGATATTAAAATAATTTGAATATGTATTACAGATAGACGGGAGCCCTGAGAGAAGAAGACGAAATTACAGTCCTAGACATGGCGATGATTTAGTTGTAGATGCCCAGATGATGATGTAGGTATTTTGTCATTACAATTGTACTTAGACTGTTAATAGTTGTAAGGTAATAAAATCAGTTTTCCCTGGAGAAACAGCTTGAAAATTTATTACAAATTAGTCCAAAATTTCTTTTTCAAATTTATACTCTAATGAAATATATTTTAATAAGAAAGTATACTTAGTATTCATGTTTGAATTGTTTTTACATTGTCATTTCTGGGCCTTTTATAGCTGACTGTGCAGTATGGGCTTTGCTCATTGTTGAAGGCCGTACGGTGACCTATTGTTGTTAATTTCTGTGTCATTTGGTCTCTTGTGGAGAGTTGTCTCATTGGCAATCATACCACATCTTCTTTTTTATTTGTACTCCAATGTAGGATTTGAATTAAAACATGCATCACATTAATTTCTGAATTAATTATAACAGCAAATATTCTCTTAACATTGACAATTTGGAAACCCTTTCTCTAATAGTCTCACCTGAACGAAAGTAAAGTTTCCGATTGTCAATTTAGATATCTACATATTTGGTCGATTTTTTTAAAGTAATTTGGAAAATATGACTCGATTTAGATTGTTTGAAATTCAGTTGAATTTTAATCATTTCTGTTCAACATGTATACATCAGATTGTTTTGGTTAGCCACCAACTTCTGATAATTTGACACGCACATTAATTTCGGAAATAACGATTATATCATTAAACCGTATTCATTACTGATTGAAATATAGATTTAAAATGAAAATAAGTTAATGATATATAGTCAAAAAGAGCAATTGAGCA